CTTAAGTTGAGACTCTTGATTTCATAGTTCGTCTTTGTTTCCCTCCTTTTGACCTTGTGTCCATGCTAACTTTATGCTTATGATTTCTGTAAAGGGCCTCTTTTCAGACATCCTTGTGCTGCCCATAACTGGTTGGAATATCAAGCCATTTCACCACTCAAAAAGCCCAGCTTTTTAAAAAATTGCCTCTAGAGGAGATGAATCTGAAAACTGACTTGTTTTTAGTGTGGGCGAAGAGAACAGAGATTTTGGAAGCCCACTCAAATACATTTAGGAGATGTGTCAGTAAAGTACAGCTCTACATGCTGACTGTTTTACGCAAAATCTCCTTGGCAGATGTTGCCTGTTTTGTTTTAAAACCGAAAACTGATAAACAGATTAGGAAATTACTTAAAGTGATGTTTTTTTGTGTTTTGATTGAGGGTGGGAAGTGATTTTTACCACCTTACAGCAGTGATTTGGTCTCAGATAAGCAGAGCAGAAACGTTGCTACTTTCTTTTTGCAACTTATTGCCACACAGCTGAGACTTTTATCTCTAAACTCTGCACAAATATCAGTACAGATATGGGAGCAAGGTCCTGAGCTAATTAAATCTGTAATCACTTTGTACTTTAACAACACAAACGGAGGGTGAGGCTGGCATAAGATTCAGCTGGTGGTTTAAATGAGGGCCTGTGGACTATTATTATATAAGGATAACTAACTGGGTCAGAGATCTTTAGCAGTAAGACGGGTTCATGCACACCTGCAAGATGAAAGTTTTCCTCAAGGAAGCTGGGATAATAATTGAGAGAGAATTGAGAAAGAGGCTGGAGAGAACTACATGATAGTCTTGCCAATGGTCAAGAATATAGGTGCTCTATTTTGTCTGCAGGGGTTGAAGTCAGTGGGTCTGAGAGGGGGAGGTAATAAGTTTCAGGAAGGATCCTGGGTGAGAGTGCAACCTAATGGAGGACTGAACAGCAGACAGCAGAAGTCAGTGAACACTTCAAAGGCTTTTCCATTTCAAATAAAGAGCTCATTCTGCCCTCTAGTGGGAATCTGAAAAACCTGCATCAAAATGCAATTCTCATTTGTATCACACAGCATCCCTTTCTTCCACTTTCCTCTTAGCATGTTTCTGGGCAAATTTAGTTTTGTTTAATTATTTTTATTCATTTCCAGGTATTGTTTCTCACAAACACCAATGCAACATCATCCTTTTTGGTATACACATGCAGCAGTATTAAGTCATCATCTTGTGCCCTTCTCCCCTTCTTTGTTTAGTGTGGGAGGTTTAATTTTAAAAGATGTATTTCAGCATCAGAAGATTTTAGTCCTGGGAAACATTCATACACTTGTATTTTTGCTATTACAGTGGTCCCTCGTTTATCGCGGGAGTTAGCTTCCAAAAATAACCCGCAATAGGTGAAATCCGCAAAGTAGCCAACTTTTTTTTTTTTTTACCCTCACTACACACTTTATACACCTTTCTCAGACAGGCACGAACATTTGCACACTTTTCTCTCTTGTTTAAACACTCTCAAAGTTCAAACCTTCATAGAAAAATAAGTCCAGTGTTATAGAATGAAATCAAAGGCACCCGCGGTTGCCTTTGACGGTACAAAACGTTTCGTCGACATTGTTGTGTTTGTTGGGGTGTGTCGGTGTGTGAAACTATAGCCCAAGGTTTATAATGTTAACTGGTAATTATGTGACAATGCATTTCAGGTCATGTTATGGAGAAACGGAAAAGTAATGTAATGGGTAGTGTAATGGATTACTTTCTTCAGCAAGTAATTAAGTAGCACACTATTGGAATGGCTTTTTAATTAATATGTGATAAATGCTCTGGTATTTTCTGCAATGGGCTTTCTATATCCTCCAAACAAACAGTTTTTGTGTTCATTCGGGCCTTTTTCCCTAAAAGAAAGGAGGTCTTTAAGAAGATAGTAATACCACATTCAAAGCCAAGTTAACACTAATGAAAAAATTACTGACATTTGTCTGTTGAGTCAAAAGGATAAGATTGTAATGTCCTAATATAAACAATGCATACCCTGTAATATTACAAAATAAAGTGAGAATCTCCCAGCATGTTTCAAAAATGAAAAAACAAAACAAATAGAGGGTGTGTAATGCTCAACACTATTTTATTTTCCTAAAACAACTTCAGCTGAAATGTCAAATATTAGCAAATGTGTTTTGTATTCATGCTAAAAACACTGAAATAATTTTATGTTACATATGTTTAGCATAACACTTGAAAAAAAATGCCAAATAAAAAGTTTCTACAATTTAACAGAGGCCGACTGCTTCTTCTTTGTCATCCTTGTATGCTTTACTTAAATACCAGCAGGTGGCTGAAATATTCGAAGCTGTATGTTTTGTTTGATTTTGATGATGTTATACATCCTATGTTACAGATATTATTATAATGCCATGTCCAACATCCAAAGTCACCTTTCTTACAGCGTTTCTTTCAACCAGATGCTACTAAACCAGAGAGGGGGATTCACACGAGTATTCATCCGTGGCATTTGCAGTTGTGTGTGCATTATTAATCCTGATCTAATGGGGCAAAATTAGACTGCTAAGGGTGTGTGGTTTTCAGTTAACGAGACACAGTTTACATTTAAGCCCAACCTCGTAAGTTGGTTTCACCGATAAAAATTGCCATTACCGTTGCATGAAGCCTACTGGTTACATAAACAAAACATAAACTAAAATTATTTTCATTTTAAGGAATAGATACTGACTCTTGGAAGCCCATTTTATTTCCTGTTTTCTGTCCTTTTCTGGATGTTGTTTTCCTAGCAACAGTGCTGCTAAAGGTGAAGAGGTGGGAGTTTGATTAACTGCAAGTATTGGAGAGGGGGGGGGTGTCTGGGGTGATGGAGGTTCCCAATTACTTTCCTGGCTGTATGGAGAAGAGGAGGTCAAGACCCCTTTTCAGCCAACTTATAAGTGTGAGTGGTTTGCCCTTGGCCTGGGCCTATACAGCTCCAAACTTGGCAGTTGTGAATTAAGTGACATAACTGTTTGGCACTGGACTGAATAAAATCCACTGACCACTTCCTAGTGGATTTTATTCAGCAGATACAAAAGTAGCAGGGCAAATGAGCTCTTAAATAAAAGGCCATTGGTTAAAGTCTCATGGTGACTGAACCACTCATCTAACTTGAAGTAACAAGACGAAAATAAAATCCAAACATAAAGGTTTGCATGAGACACTTCTTTCTTTTTATACACAATTAACTCCTTCCTGGAGATTAACCTATATATAAGTGTTACATCCCACAGGAGGATGTTGGTTTTCTTCTCTCAACTAACTCCTTATGTTTTGTCTAAGCTCCACCTCCTCTGTCCTGATTGGATGCTGCTCAGAGTCCAGCTAATTGTTAATCAGAATACTTAAGGCCTGTGGAGCAGTGTTTCTGTGCCCTCTGGCCATTTTGTTTTCCATACCTGTACAGGCTTGCATGCCTTTGTGACTTGTATGTGCATTTTTTTGTTTTCATGTTCAGACTGCTTGTAGGGGAGAGCTGCCTTTTGTTTTGACACCCTGTTTTCTCCTGTTTACGTGTTGTTAGGTAGGTTATGGTTATAGGTTGTATATTTGGTTTTCTTTGGAGTTAGGTAAATTTCTTTTATTTTCACATCAGGGGTGTTTTGTTTGTTATGTTGGCCTTGGCTCTCCCTGAAGTTATACCTCAGTCTGAACCCAAATTTCATCACTAGCATTAAATAAACCTTTTTAAAACTACCATCTTGGCTCCTCCTTCACTTTCCACCTTTATGTTTGTCCCTTCAAACCCCCTAGACTAGCCAGGGGATGTAACAATAAGAATGAAAATGAATGAAACTTTTCAAAGACTGTCAGTGGACTTTAAGCCATTAGTAACAGAAGACTAATAAAAAAAATACTTTCATTTGATTGGTGAGTCAAAAGGGTAAGAGTGTGAAGTCCATATAAATGTGAAGTGTAATTTTTCTGAACAACATGACCAACTAAAATATATACTGAGGGAAAACATTACAGAACTATGGGGCTTCCCCCAGTGTGAAAACACTCACAATGTATGGTGTGAAGCTCTCCCAAAACTATTCAAAAAAGTATTTACAAAAAAGAACAGAAAAGCAAAATAAGGTTATTAAGAAATAGCCAGTGGTCAATAGTAAGAATTATTTTCTCATAACTTAAACTCAAATATAATCAAATCCGTTTTGTACAATTTTTTTTAAAACCTTTACTTTAAAAATTCGTCAGTTTTGTAAATTACTGAAAAAAATATAGTGATTAGTTGATTTGTCCCTGTTCGCCATAGGTTGAATTGTGTGTCAATCAAATAAATAAGGCGGTGCTCTCATTGGATAGTAGAAACGCCTTAAAAACATATCTTTGGTGTGATTGGACAGAATTGACATGGCAACAAGATGCGTGGTGATGCAAATTGGTGACATTTCTGCCCCCATAAGGCTACTAGCTTTTGGGCTCTCTACCAGCTAGCTAATGCAAACAAAGCGGCCAGTAAGGGGTTTGTGTGTGTGTGTTTATGCGGCTCTCTCTCTGCTATTAGCTATCCTAATACCCAACGCAAAACCCTCTTTATTTATAAATCTTCTCATTTCTTCTTTGGTAGTCATACAACAAAACAAAACTGAAGTTGCTTTGGTGAAGGTAAGACATTTCTTTCCTTTACACGACCGCACTGGTTTTTCCAAAATGGCTTCTGCTAGCTAGTAAGCTAAAATTGAAACGTCTACCAACAGCTTGCTTAAGCTAACTATAGCATATTAGCTTAAGAGCCGGTGGATAGCCTAGCTTGCAGATGTCTCGGCTAATTTAAATAAAGGTAGAAAATGGCGTCGTCCTTTAGCTACTCCAACGAAAACTTAAAAGTACACAAACGTGTTAATGGGTCCGCTAAATGATTAAATTCACGAGTCCCACCACACAGATTCAGCCAAGTTCGCTTCAACACTCGTATGAAATCTGTATAAGTAATCTCAGCAAGGGATGGCGACACGAAGAATCGGCTGTAAACGTTAGCCAGCCATGCTTGCCCTGCCCTGTTTCACTGCAACACGGTGCAGCGCTGGGTATGCAGACTGGTCCTCTTTTCGAGCTATAGCAGCAAAGCAACACAAAGCACCAACTGTGGAGAGCCAGTGTAACCCCAAGCATCTATTTCCACGTAGCGTCACGCTTCTCATTTAACACTTGGTAAATTGTAGAAAACTATAATGTTAAAACACGGTTTATGGAAAAAATTCTAAAAATCTTAGCAATGTCGTGACGTAGTCTATGGCTTTAGAGACCCACCAGGCTAGCTAATTAGGTTAGCCAGTTAGCTGACGCACCTTTGCTTTGTTGTAGCCGAGCAAAGACCTGCACAAATGTTTACATTTCGACATTTAATATCGTTTTATCATGCCACTTAATCAGTGTTCAGCAAACACATCTGTAGTGGGTTCGTGTATAACTTGCTTAAGTAAAGAGGCAGGTTTATGTTATTTATTTTTATTTATTCTTTTCTGTGAGTGGCTGGGCCTCGGAAGACCTAGTCACGGAATTGTTTATCAGTCGTGTAAATGTCTTTGGGTATTTTTTTTTTTTTAAAACCTAATCGTGTCCTGTTTAACGTTTCTCTAATCGTGTAGTCCGTGCCTGTCTTGTTTTCCCAGAGCCCCTATAGTGGCTAATTGCATTCCCTTTTCTCTTCCTCAGCACCGTTTTCCCCATCCCTTCCTATTCTTCTTATTCTTTTGAGTATTCTTCATTCTCAAGCCGCCAAAGTGGAGAGTGTGATTGCAGAAGGGGGTGCTTCTCGTTTCAGGTAATAAGTCATGGCCTGTGCAGGAAATGCCAACATGGAATTTTCTTTTTCTCCCCATGGTTAGCCCTCTGCTAGCATTTTGAGCAGGAACTTCCGGCCTATAGAACAAAGCAGGATGTGGGAAGGCTCAAAATGGCTGTCAGGCAATTCTTTGTGAGACCTTTTGAAAAAGGGGGTTGGGTATACAGACTGATCCTTGAAAGGCTTTCTGTCCTATTGGTTGGATGTTGATAAAGGCAGCACATCTGCAGGCAGAGGTAGCCAAAGTTACAGTCATTCTTCACTTGAGTAGAGGTACAGATACTTGACTGAGGTAACGGGGAAAAGTAAGGTCTTTTGTATGAATAAATTTGTTTGTTTTTGCAAAGGAAGCTGAACCTCATGTGTTAATATAATGATAATAATAAAACTATTTTGAAGTCACACGAATAGAAACAATTGTTCAACCTTAATGGTAATGAAAGCTTGAGCATCTGTTGTGTAGAACCCAAGCAGAGTAAAAACTAAAAGAATTTTATAAAAACTACCTAGCTGCTGTTGCTTGCATTGTAGATGGATGCTGCCTCCACATCTAAACAGAGAAAGGAGTACGGTTGGGATTTGGCAGTTGTAGATCATCTGTAGTGGTGGAGAGTGGGGGGGTATGACTTAGAAATGTCACATTAATGTCTGTTGTGACCACTAGTAGATTTTGTGTGCAGGCTGTGATCAGCTGACTTGCGTTAAACAGCAAAGCAGATGTTAACACGGATTGTCACGGCTAATTTCCAGCACCCAGGCAATATAAAGGTGGAATTCAGTGAGTGAATCAAAATGATTGTAACTGAAGTTAATTCCATCTAAACATAGTGTAACCTGACATTGTCCTTTCAGAGTTTATATCTGACCAATATCTGTTCATTAAAAAAACCTAATTAATTGTCATACTTTTACACAAAATCTTTAAAATTTCCCTCTCAAATGTCACAAAGTACTCCTTAACTTTAGAAATAACCTTCTTCTTTCTTTGTCTCTGAGCGGCTTCATCGCTCCTTCTTTTAGCTCCCTGGGAAATAAAGTAGCTGTACCTTTAGCTAGCAGACAGACAGTGAGGAAAAACTGCACAGAGACAGTTTTGCTGATACTGTGTTTGCTGATATTTGTTCATTTAAACGTTGCAGTTCCAGCTCATTCTGCCCACTTTAACCCCTGAGTGTGGAGCTATACATTATAGGGGGCGATCGTGGCTCAAGAGTTGGGAGTTCGTCTTGTAATCGGAAGGTTGCTGGTTCGAGCCCCGGCTTGGACAGTCTCGGCCGTTGTGTCCTTGGGCAAGACACTTCACCCGTTGCCTACTGGTGGTGGTCAGAGGGCCCGGTGGCGCCAGTGTCCGGCAGCCTCGCCTCTGTCAGTGCGCCCCAGGGTGGCTGTGGCTACAATGTGGCTTGCCATCACCAGTGTGTGAATGTGTGTGTGAATGGGTGGATGACTGGATATGTAAAGCGCTTTGGAGTCCTTAGGGACTAATAAAGCGCTATATAAATACAGGCCATTTACCATTTACCAGGCCATTTTTGTCTCTCCTCATGTACAATAAGCACCAGTGATGGATACACCAATAGCATTGTCTTTTCATCCTATTGGTGTTAATTTACTTCTATTTAAGTAGAAGCTGTTTTGGGAATATGAACTACCAATGTTTCAGAAAAGAACAGACCTAAATAATTTAAGTCAAAATGGCAGCAACAACAAAAAAATATTAATGCAATAATGGGTTAATTTGCTGAGCAACTTCTGAATGCAATCCACATAAATTAAGTAGAAGGAAACTAAATTCGATCCAACAATACAACATAAAATTAAGGGCTATACCAGAGAACTGCATTTTTACCAAGCTGACTTTACATTTGGAGTTAACCTTTCTTCTTGCAGATGGATTGAATTTGTCATGCAATTCATAAATATAACAATTCTTTGTCAGCAAACACAAACTGTTACTGGCTCTCTAATAACTGGCATAAGTGCCTCAAGTGAGTCTTATTCATAAAGCTCTTGGCCCTGCCAAACCTTTACTACTTCTCAGTTTAGTTTAATTTTTATTAATTTGTATATTTAGTGCCTTATAGGATTTCAAGCGAGCTTTGTTCTTCTAGCGATTACAAAAACTAGAAGATAGTTGTAAATCCAGTGATCAGTTGCGGTGCTACAGTTTAATTGGAAAGATATTTTGTGTTGTGCGGTGTGTTATTTTATATCTATGTAGCTCTTTACAATAGTTAATTATCCAACTGTGCAGTTTTAAAAATGTATTTTTAGTGAGTGCTTTTCTCTCAGTGTGTTCTTTAGTGCAACTGAAGGTTGAATGAAAAAGCACACCAGTGCTGCATGAATTTTAAGTGTTCCACTGTGTTGTTTACTTCTGCAGTGCTTCTTCGGGGGGAGGAGGTGGTAGGGGTGCACCTCAGCACTATCCCAAGACTGTCGGCAACAGGTTTGTATGTGTACTTAATATGTGATAAACTAATTGGTTGTAATAAGGAATCAGTAGGTATTATTCATTCCCCCAGTGTGGAAGAGATTCACTAGAAAATCTTGATTACCCTGATGTCATGCAACATAATAGCTGCAGATTGCCCAAACGTGTTTACCATTCTGGGAAGCCTGAGATCACTTTACAACAAAGGAGTTTTAAAAAGTATTTAACAAGTTGGCAATGCATTAACATTTGTGTTGACCATTTAAAAATATTTTTGACTGCTTTTAGTGAGAGGCTTATTTTTATCCATCCATCCATCTTCTTTTTCCGCTTTATCTGGGGCCGGGTTGCGGGGGCAGCAGTCTAAGCAGAGAAGCCCAAACCTCCCTCTCTCCAGCCACCTCCTCTAGCTTATCTGGGGGAACGCCAAGGCGTTTCCAGGCCAGCCGAGAGATATAATCTCTACAGCGTATCCTGGGTCTGCCCGGAGGAGGGGACATGTTCCGGGCATGTCCCCTCCTCTGGGTAGGACATGCCCGGAACACCTCACCCAGGAGGCATCCTTGTCAGATGCCTGAACCACCTCAGCTGGCTCCTTTCGATGTGCAGGAGCAGCGGCTCTACTCTGAGCCTCTCCCGGATGGCTGAACTTCTCACCCTATCTCTAAGGGTGATCACGAAATAAGGGATATCACAAAACAAATTCCCCCTATTTAAGTGCCTTTAAGGAGCCTCCTGTAGAGACCTCGAGGATGTTGAGAGAACAAACCCCTCCACCACCTTATCGTGGTGGAGGGGTTTGTATGTCCCAGGGATCCCAGGGTCTATGTTGTCTGGGGGCTTTTGCCCCCTGATAGGGTCTCCCATGGCAAATTGGTCCTGGGTGAGGGACCAGACAAAGAGGGTTTCAGAAGACCCTTATGAGGAAAACGTTGCGGGAACAGTTTACCCTTCCCAGGATAGGGTTACCGGGGCCCCGCTGTGGAGCCAGGCCCAGGGAGGGTGCCCGAGGGCGAGCGTCTGGTGGCCAGGCCTTAGTCCATGGGGGCCGGCCGGGTGCAGCCTGAAAAGGGGACATGGGCCCATCCTCCCGCAGGCCCACCACCCGCAGGAGGTGCCGTAGGTGCATTGTGTGCCGGGCAGTGGCCAGGAGCCGGAGGCCCTGGTGGACTGATCCCCGGCTACCAAGACTTATTTTTATTTAACACCTAATTTTAATTATTGCTGCTCTGCTGCATGCTTTGAGGGGGCAGATAGACCTGCGGGGATCACTGTTGTGATGAGTGTGTGGTATTAAGCTCTATGCTTGAACAATTGCGCATTTCACTTTACCCACCACAAATTGAGATTCTGTGCCAGTATACTCAATCTCTTGCTCTGTATTTCTACAGCGAGTTCCTGGGGAAAACCCCAGGGCAAAGCGTTCAGAGATGGGTTCCTTCACGAAGCACTAGACGAGATGTCAACTCCAGCAACGAAAAAGAGCGACACGATGCAATCTTCAGGAAAGTGAGGGGGTAAGGTTCAACTCCCGATGCATATTTAAAGGGTTGACTGAGAGAGAGATTTTTTTTTTTAATTGCTACTTAACCCATTTCAGTTGTGCTCAGACTAAACAACTAAGTTTGGATGCCACAGTAAACCTGTCTGTAAATCAAGTTTAATCTTCATCCAAATTATACTTTTGTTTTGTGCAGACCTCTGTGGAATCTGTTAAATACCAGCTTAAGAGTTAAGATTAATTAATTTATTATTGGTATTGATTTATTTTGTTTTGTGGGTCATTGTTTACTGTGGTGATGAATAGGTAAGATGGAGGCAGGAGTCTCCATGGGCTGTGTGTGAATGAGAGTGAGACAGATGTACTAGTGAGGAAGAGAGTGCTGGCAGGGTGGAGTTGACTCTCAGGTGTGATTTGTGACAAAAGCATAGAAGCAAGAGTGAAAGTGAAGATTTACAAGACGTAAGACCTGCTATGATGGTTTGGAGTCAGCGGTACTAAGAAAAGAGACAGGAGCCTGAGTTAGTTGGCAGCGCTGAAGATGTTATGGTTTCCATTGGAAGTGATCAGTTTGGCCAGGATTAGAGAGGAGTACATCAGAGGGACAGCTGGATAGGCAAGGCTGAGATGGTTTGGATATGTGCAGAGGAGGGTCAGTGGATATATTGAACAAGATTTGTGGATGTAGTGAAGGAGGACATGCTGCCGGATGGTGTGATGGAGGATGCTAGGGATGGGGTGAGATGAAGGCTGATGATTAGGGCTGCCACAAACGATTATTTTGATAGTCGACTAGTCACCGATTATTTATGCGATTAGTCGACTAATCAGATCATCATCCACTGGACGTAAAACTACAGCTTATTGCACCAGCAGCATCTGCTCTTATATAACTATCATTATCTTACAGCTTTAAGCTTTTAAGGTGCTAACTAAAAATAAAGACAAGATGATAGTTTATTCAATTTTAATGAAATTTGCAGATTGTTTCGGTGAAGTTTAATAAACTCCTTGCTATCTAAAATATAACAGGACAACGGGGTATATTCTCCAGCATCTCTCACTTCTGATAATCAGCTGTCTGCTTGACGTTTAGTCAGCTGTGTAAAAACTATAACTTTAATCTCAGCCAAACCGATTTACTCAGGAACAAATAAAATACTAAAAAAAAAAAAAAAGCCAAACAACAACATTTTTAATTTATCTAAGTGACTCATATATATTTAACCTGAGTAGCGAAAGACGGCGGTGGGTTTGAAAACGATTTGCCGGGAGTCCGGTGTTCTCACCGCGCTAGTGACCTAGCCCCCGGCTAGCTATCGAGCTAGTGGGTAACAGACGTCTCCGAAAACGTCGGAGCGCTTTTGAAAATATGTGGTGTCCTGATAAACTGAGCCGATATTTGAGGTTTACACAGCTACATTCTCGGCTGAAAATATGTTAAACGTTTATTTTGTGACCCAGAAAGAATAATAAGAGTAATATTAAAACTAACTAGCTGCCGCCATTGTTGGAAACTAAGCTGGGCCGCGCTATGAATTCTGGGACACAGCTGCTTCTTCTTCTTCTTCGGGGTTTAACGGCAGCTGGCATCCTTGTACATGCAGTGCTGCCATCTTCTGTTTCAGTCCATTATTACACTCTTAAATCCTGCTACTTATTCCTGCGTCTTTTGTGATCTTACAAAGCTTCAAATGACGCGTCGACTATCAAAATCGTCGACGACTTATTTAATAGTCGACGTAATCGTGACTAGTCGACAAATCGTGGCAGCCCTACTGATGATCTGCTGTGGCAATCCATGAAGGGACTTACCAAAAGAATATAATTTTGGTTTTCATTAAGGTGTTTATACCTCTTATTGAGATTATTCCAACTTGATTAGAAATGAAGTATTGAATTTCGTAGGGCTGGAGTCACTTACATGGCATGTGTTTTGCTAAAGGCACTTAAGCTCTGCTTTGTATGTATCAGGAGATGTTCACAAGTACAAAAGATCGGGTGACAGTGTTTCCTCTGGCAATCTAAGCTTGCCAGTGTTGACCACAGAATGCTCAGGATCTGAGCTCAGGATTTCTGTCTTTTTTTTTTTTTTTTTTTTTTTTTTTTTTTTTTTGGTCGTTGTTGTTGTTGTTGTTGTTTTGTTTTGTTTTTTTGTTTTTTTTTTCCCCCTTACAATAAACAGAACCTTCTTGGCAATATCACATGCCTACTTTTTGGTCTTGGGCAATCATTATATCCAGTCAAAATCCTTAAAATCTAATAAGTGTTCAGATTCTAATATTTAGTCTTGCTACCTCTCTTTCTTCTTTTTCTTTTTTTTTTTTTTTTTCTTTTGTTAGCATACTCAACAAACTCACGCCTGAGAAGTTTGACAAGCTATGCCTTGAGCTCCTGAATGTGGGCGTAGATTCAAAACTCGTCCTTAAAGGAATCATCTTGCTGGTAAGCACTTATCTGTATTCTTTGGAACGAAGCTAAATGGAAATGTATGCATCTATACTTGGCCGGCTGCTCTGAGTGATTCATACACTACGTGCTTTAATGACCTCCCTGGTTTTGTTTCTGCATTTCAGATTGTAGACAAAGCCTTAGAAGAGCCGAAATATAGCTCGCTCTATGCTCAGCTATGTCTGCGCTTGGCAGAGGACGCACCAAACTTTGATGGCACTTCACCTGATATCCAGACACCCCAAAAGCAGAGCACAGTGAGTCTCACTGATGTTCTGCTGCAAAATATTCTTTTCAGTCTGTGATACAGCAAAGTTTTTCTGTTTGTGACCTTGCTGTTTTATTAGGCCTGCTCAACACAGTTTAAAGTCATTAGGAACTCTTTACTTTTGAAAAGGATAATTGTGTGGGTTTTTTATTTATTTATTTATTTATTTATTTTTTATAAATGACTATTGTTTTTAAAATCCCCATTTATTCAGATGAAAAAAGCAAGTCCTAACACTTTTTGTTAACCTTTATGGAAATGCCTTGAATTCATTTTTTTTTTTAACTGTTCAAACATTGGGTTTTGTCTGGTTTTTGTAGACCTTCAGAAGACTGCTGATTTCCAAGCTTCAAGATGAATTTGAGAACCGCACCAGAAATGTTGAAAGTAAGTCCGTTTGTCTTTGTGAATCTCCCAAGAGGTCCTCGTAGTGTAGTTAGTTACATAAACTTTTTGTTGCTTACCTCTGATAATCTTTTCGCCTCAGTCTATGACAAACATGACAACCCTCTTACTTCGGAGGAGGAGGAGCAGCGTGCCATTGCCAAGATCAAGATGCTTGGCAACATTAAATTCATCGGGGAACTTGGCAAACTTGACCTCATCCATGAATCTATCCTTCATAAATGCATCAAGACAGTATGGATTTATTTTTTTAAATTGTGTTTAATAATCTTATCTTTTAATTCTGGGGTTCTTATTTGCAAGATAAACCAGAATATAGATCCATTACATATTCCATGACAATTCTCCCTTGTTTCCCTGCGCTCTGAAGCTTCTGGAAAAGAAGAAGAGAGTCCAGCTCAAGGATATGGGGGAGGATCTGGAATGCCTCTGTCAGATAATGAGAACAGTGGGGCCGAGACTCGACCATGAGAAAGCAAAGGTGACAGCTTTCATAAACTATAGCTGTTTGGAGAGGCTGTGTATAGGCTTAAGGTGTAAACACAACATCTCAATTCAACACTTTTTTTTATTTATTTATTAAAAATGACTGTGTAACTAACATTCATAGTCACAAAGTTGAATCATTAGTTTGTTAAATGCAAGAAAAGTAGGTGCATTTATTGTTTTTACTCCATCAGACAGAACCGTGAAGGCAATTGACCCAGCCAGCGTTGATATAAAATGAGCTCTAAAACTTTATTTACGAACTGCTCTTTGCTCACTTCCTTTTTCTCTCCATCCTGTCATCAGTCTTTAATGGATCAGTACTTTGGCCGTATGCGATCCTTAATGAACAACAAGGAGTTGCCCGCTAGGATCCGCTTCCTGCTGCAAGATACAGTGGAACTTCGAGAAAACAACTGGGTCCCCCGCAAGGCTTTCATCGATAACGGACCAAAGACAATTAACCAGATCCGTCAAGATGCAGTGAAGGCGAGTCCATTATTTAAGGGTTCAGTTCATTCTGTTTACGTTTCTGTACATTAGCAAGGAGTCCCTTGTGATAAATGTGATGCGAGAAGTAAGCAGACAGTTAAAGGTTTCCACTCTGAAATGTGTTTAATTTAGTTCAGAGTTTTCAAAATGGTTAATATTGAATTTGAATTCTGGACTGTGGCACAGTTATTGACTGATTCTGTCATGCATGTTGTTGTAGGATTTGGGTGTTTTCATCCCAGCACCCATGTCTCAGGGGATGAGGATGGACTTCTTCCTGGAAAGCCCTTTCATGCCCAGCAGAATGAAACTGGACAGGGAGACTCTTGGGGGTTTGGCTGACATGTTTGGACAGATGCCAGGTGTGTTTTGTTCCTGTATCATGTATGCCTGTGCACTTCCTTTCTTGTTTTTGTTGTACGAGGCCATCTTAAAACATCTTTGTTCTCTCAGGCAGTGGGATTGGAACTGGCCCGGGGGTTATTCAGGACAGGTACTCGCCTACTATGGGACGCCATCGCACCAACCCACTCTTCAATGGCCACGGTGGCCACATTGCCCCTCCACCTCAGTCACAGTTTGACATGGGGCCCAAGTCTTTTGTTAAGTCCAACCAGGTAGCCTGCTTTTGAAAGTTTACATTAGTTTAGTCTTAAAGTTCTCCAGGTTAAAGCTGTGTGGAAATGGGGAAACAAATTATAGAACCTGTTTAGCTGCTTTTGACTGTCTTTGATCATTTGAATCTTTTGCCTGTGTGAACACTTATAGGTTCAGAACCAGCATTTCCTCAACCAGAACCAGAACCACATGGCCCAGCAGCAGGTCCAGTCCAAGGACATGCCTCCACGATTCAGCAAGAAAGGACAGCTCAATGCTGACGAGGTAAGTAGCTCCTAGCGTGGCTGAGTTAATTGTTGCCAAAAATTATTATTATTTTTTTTTTGTGTGTGTGTCATACTAAAAAAAGATTTAACAAAGTTAAAACATCAAATGTTTTACACTAGCCTGTAAAGGCTGCATTCTGCTCTCCTAATGTCCTGTGTTGAGTCGTGATGCCCAGTGATTATAAAAAGACGCGTTATTCTGAGGAATCCAACCTGCTGCTAGTCTTTCTTTTACTATCGTCTCTGTCTTTAATCTCCTCTTTTCTGTCCCTCCTCCACTTCTCCTTTTTATTCAAACTGGCAACAGGGTCCGCTGACTGCGATTATGAGATATGAGGGCATTTTATTTATAGCTGATATGGAACTTGAGTTGTTTTTGTTACATACAAAGACTAATACTATTGTCTCCTTTGTTCATGATGCCTCATGGCCCCACAGATCAGCCTCAGGCCTGCTCAGTCATTCCTCCTCAATAAGAACCAGGTGCCCAAGCTCCAGCCCCAGATCCCGACCATGATGCCTCCCAGTGCCCAACCCCCACGCACTCAGACTCCCCCTCTGGGACAGGTATGAGAGTGTCTACTTGTTTGTCAGTGAGTTAATCTAAGAGAACCGTTGGTGAGTTTTTAAAAACAACAAAAAAACTGGTTGTTGTACAACTAGCATATAAACAGCAAACATTAAATCACAGATTGAAGTGTCGTTTTGTTGGAGAGCTGTATCTGTGAACTCAAATACATGACTTTTGCCCTCAGCCTCCACAGCTTGGCCTGAAGACCAACCCTCCACCTATTCAAGAGAAACCGCAGAAGACTAACAAGAAACCACCTCCTGCAAAGGAGGAGCTTCTTAAAATGACGGTAGGGAGAACAGTTTCTGTCACATAAGCATATGTTCCAGGCTGAAGCAACACTTGACAATCATGTAAAATCCTCATGAATAAAAAGCTTTACCACAGCATACTCACAATTGAATTAAAACTGCAGGTCAGTTTTCCAAAAGGTTTGCTACACTGTCTGATGTAACCATAACAGCAAAGCAGTTCACTTATAAATATTGGTAAGCCTCCCTGTTTAGCAGTTTCTATTCATCACTGGTGAAATATAGAAGTGGCAAAATATATTTATGTAAGCACTTTGGTGTAAATGGTAAATGGCCTGCATTTGTATAGCGCTTTTCTAGTCCCTAAGGACCCCAAAGCGCTTCACACTACATTCAGTCATTCACCCATTCACACACACATTCACACACTGGCGATGGCAAGCTACATTGTAGCCACAGCTGCCCTGGGGCGCACTGACAGAGGCGAGGCTGCCGGACACTGGCGCCACCGGGCCCTCTGACCACCACCAGTAGGCAAACATGGGGTTAGTATCTTGCCCAAGGATATTTGGCATGCAGCCAGGAGGCAGCCTGGGATCGAACCACCGACCTTCTGATTAGTGGCTGACCTGCTCTGCCACCTGAGCTACAGCCACCCTGCAAGATAATCTGCTTGCTACTAAAAAGATGAATTAGACTTGAAGCATTTTACCTCCTCAGCATGTGCATACAGAGTAGATGAAACCACAAGACCTACGGATGAGTTTGTTATGCTGGGTGATCAGAGTGACCACGGTTCAGTTCTGTTCATGTGCTTGCCTACTCCGTTTAGGAGGCAATCATGACTGAGTACTTGAACACTAAGAACCTGACTGAGGCTGTGAGTGGCGTGAGAGAGATGAAGGCTCCAAAGCATTTCCTGCCAGAGATGCTCAGTAAGATCATTGTGTGCTCCCTGGATTGTCCAGATGAGGACAAAGAGCACGCCAGCACTCTGATTCACACACTCCGCACTGAGGGCCTCATCACTGGGGAGAACTTCATGCAGGTACGTCTGCTGTTCATTCAGTATTGGAGAGCATTTCTGTGTTTGAGCACAAACACATTCAGTACGTTTAAAGACAAGAAAAGCTCTTTTATTATTTCACAATTATTTCACTGAGATTGATGTAATTATTTGTGACTAATTACATCGTATGTCACTGAACCCAGAAGGGCATAGTGTTATTCTTCATGCTTGAGGTATTTTCTTTCTCCCCTCACTCATTTTAGGCTTTCCTTAACGTCCTGGACCAGTGCCCTAAGATCGAGGTGGACGTGCCCCTGGTGAAGTCTTATCTGGCCCAGTTTGCGGCTCGGGCTATCATCGCAGAGCTGGTGAGCGTGGCGGAGCTGGCTCACCCCCTGGAGAACGGAACCCACTTCCCACTCTTCTTGCTCTGCTTGCAGCAGACGGCCAAGCTCAAGGATCGTGAGTGGCTCACTGACCTCTTCCAGCAGAGCAAGGTCAATATGCAGAAGATGCTCCCAGGTAGGCCCCCAATCCATCTACCAATTCAGGATTTATTTTTTATTTTATTTTTTAAATATAGCAACAATTCACAACAGATAAATCTTAAAATCACCAATAAGCACTTGGCAATAGTGGCAAAGGGAGGGGGAGAAGCAAGTGTGGAATAAAATCTCAGATGGAAGAGAGCACAGGGTTACTCTACCCCCTCCTGGGGAAAAAATGCCAAAGTGATTTCTCCCCTCATCTATTAGGCTTCTTTTATTCTGTCATTTTATATTCTCAGCATTTCCCTCCAGTTTACAGTATAACGATCACCAGAATAGTTGTACAGTACCCAGTGAATATTCAAGTTTGCCCCATCCCCCATCGATGATGTCTGAATGAGACAACATTATTCATATTTAAATGAAGTTACAGTAACATACAGTCCTGCCAAATGTCAGTTTGTCAGAAGAGATTTGTAGGTAATGATGCTTCTTGTGCATGTTATGTTGGAGTATTGTGAGTAAATGAAATCTTAATAGGATGGAGCTAAATATTTGTTCCTGACCATATTAAAATGATCACTTTCTGAAACCTTAATTACCTAGGTCATATCAGGAGCACGTTCTGTCTGGCTAATACATGACTTGCTCTCCCACTTGGTAGAAATTGATCAGAACAAGGACCGCATGCTGGAGATCCTGGAGGGGAAAGGCCTGAGCTTCCTGTTCCCTCTGCTGAAGCTGGAGAAGGAGCTGCTGAAGCAGATAAAGGCAGACCCCTCTCCACAGTCCATCTACAAGTGGATTAAAGACAACATTTCACCCAAGTTTCATACTGATAAAGGCTTTGTCAACATCCTCATGACCAGGTAAATTTGCAGATGGACTTGACTGAATCTGTTTTCCCAGGATAGTCTTAGTCTGTTTTTATAACAGTTATAAAATGCATGCAAGTGTTGGTTTGTCTGCGATGTCGCTAAATATATAGCCGCAAGGTCACACATTTAAGGCATTGTAACGAAGTTCTTTAGTTTAACTAACATTTGTCCTCTGATCTTTTTTCAGTTTCCTCCAGTACATCTCCCAAGAGTTGTGCGAGGCAGAGGGTGATGAGCAACTGGCAGCGCCCTCTAAAGAGATGCTGGAACAAGAGAAACAGCTGCTGCTGGCCTTCAAGCCCGTCATGCAGAAGTTCCTGCACGACCATACCGAGCTGCAGGTCAGCGCCCTCTACGCCTTGCAGGTGCACTGCAATGCCCGGGGGTTCCCTAAAGGTAAAGCAAATCTTGTACAGTTTAGCTAGTAAGCAACAAGAAATGGGGAGTGCAGGGATGTGAAATCTTGATTACTCTGATTAGTTACAAAAGTGAAATATAAATAATGCAGGAGTTGTGAATTAAGTGCATATTAATTCATTTGTTTATTGTTTTTAACAAGGCATGCTACTGCGCTACTTTGTCAACTTCTACGACATGGAGATCATTGAAGAGGAAGCCTTCCTTGCATGGAAAGAAGACATTACCCAAGAATTCCCTGGAAAAGGAAAAGCTTTATTCCAGGTACAGTAGTGCAGTTTAGTTTGTTAGAAAGAAAACACAAGAGTTGACAAGTTTTATATTCTCTCTCTCTCTCTCTCTCTCTCTCTCTCTCCTCTCTCTCTCTCTCTCTCTCTCTCTCTCTCTCTCTCTCTCTCTTCCCCCCCCCCCCCCCCCAAAAAAAAAAAAAAAATTCAGGTAAACCAGTGGCTCACCTGGCTGGAGACGGCAGAGGAGGAGGAATCTGAGGACGACGCAGACTAAGAAACCAAGCGGAAGCATCATGGCGTAGATCAACCGTATCTTATTGTTAGACTTGTGTTACCTTATTAAACTCCATGCTTAATTTAACCACTACGATGTGGCACTCGGCTGCTTGTGTCTTGCAAATATAAACCGAAAGCTTTTACCGACAGGGCCTCATGTGCTACCACCTGCACCGTGATGATAGGCTGAGAAGCATTGTTTAATCTGTTGCCTAATTTTCTGAGATCTGTTTCCTAATCAGCTACATGAATTCTAGAGTGGCTCAACCATGTATTGTTTTTCTCAATTTGCTCCGTTAGGTTGTAACTTTATTTTCACTGTATTGCTTTTTCTTACGGATTTAAACCTCCCCCAGATAGGAAACTGCTTTATGGTAAGAACATGTAGGATTTTCCTCTCTAAAATAAGACAAATCTTTCACGATCTTTGCTAATTCTAGTTACAAAGCAAACAACTAGAAACATTAACATAAGGTCTTGTCAGCAAGCTGCTTTTGTGATCTTCTATCAGGGCCTAGCCTGGATTGCTTTTTATCATACATGCTTAAAAACAGCACCGGGGATATAGACAAACGGGCTGCACAGCGATCCTTCTCGTGAACCACACGTTAAACCTAGATGGCCCGCTGAAGTTGAATGAAGCACAAGCTGGCAAAACATTTCATGACTGAAATGTGCTCACTAAATTCCCACTTTGTTTTTGTTTTTTGTTTGTTTGTTTTTTTTAATAAGTGCTCTTCATAGTCCCTGATGATGAGCATGTTGGGTTTTTTTTTTCTTTGTTTTTTTTTTGGGTTTTTTTTCATTAGCATTAATTCTTTTGTTCTGTCCTTTCTTCCTGTCTTTTTTTTTATCATTATTATGAGTGGTTGCAATACCCATTCTCCAAATGTTACAATATTTAAAAAAGAGAAAAAATAAATCTGTAATCATTGGTTTGCTGTCGTCACGTTTCAAAATTGCCTGTGTTTCTACCTCTTAGTTAGATGGGCCTTTTTTTTTTTTTTTTGTGCTGGGATAAAGAAATCCACTAAGAAGAATATTGAGCCCATGCAGATGCTGAAGTATTTGGTTTAATCCTGGCCTAATTGCACAATAAATGTATTGAAGCAGACATTAACAATGATGCCGTTGCATGTTTTACAAGTGTTAACATCTCATTAGGATTTTTTTTTTTTAAATTTCACCCACATGATGAAATGTGTACTTATCAAAAGAGTAATGTCGACTAGATTTTGAAGCGGCCCTGATGAGGTTGGTTTTTATATTGAGGGCTCAAAATAATAAATGTTAGATTTGTCTGGCTCTTAAATTGGCAAACTATAAATTGTAATTCATTTCCCTTCTAAAGCTAAACAAATGACCATCAGGCTTAACCAAGAATTGTACTCTCAAGCCATGATTATGTCTAAGACATATGATTAGGGTCTTATTGTAAGGTATTCAGAATTATTGTGCACCTCTATTGCTTTAATGTCAATAAAGTCAGTACATGAGCACCTACTGTTTACCTGTATTTACTCTGCTTTACAGTTACATATTCCATCTGTCCAATAAAATACTTCACACTTGAACAACAGTTTGAATCTTCCAAGCAGCAGCTCTACTGGAGTGCTTTGATTTTCCCAGCAGCATGTGGTTACATTCGTGGTCAGTCCTGATCTGTGGGAATCCAGAAGTATTCCACCACCTTCCTGCTTCTGCGCAGAGGGCCTGAGTCGGGTCGCTCTCCTCCATAGGCAGGCAGCTCATCAAAGTGACTCGGACCCAGATCTCTCCCCATGTGTGGTGCTGTCACCCTGAGCATGGTCCTGAGTGAATACAGTTCACAATTAATTCTTAATAGTGGTCTTCAACCAGAGAAAAGCTTTACACTTACCTATTTGCCTTCACGTTTTTGTAAATTAGAATTTTAATCTTATGTTGCTACCATATCTGAACGATTGTAGTTTGTGTGGCTTCCCCCTGGTGGCCAAAGTTTGTGTTTACCTAGATGAACTCCTTTCAGGCTCTTCAACGCTGGACTCTGGAGTGGAGATGTATACAGGATCTCCTTCCTGAACAAAAACCATAACATAAGCTTCTGATTTACTTTTTAAATGTCCTGTATTGTAGACCTAGACATGCACAGCTCTCATGTGAGTATGAGATGTAGGATCATCTCACTGTGAAATTTCTCGGAGTGCCATCTGGATTTTTGAGAATTTTAACCCTCTGGTCGCTTTCAGTCATGCACAGGAAGTAGCTTTTGATGTGGGCTTGACACTGTTGAGAAAAAAAATCACTTAAAGATTTTACTTTAAAGAGATGAAAATGTACAGAACAAAAAATTTTTCTTTCAGCCTTGTTGCAAACGTGTGACTTGCAATATTGTACCACAGTGAATCACTCAGGGACGTTTTTCAAGATGGAAATAATCATTTAAACAGTATATTTTATGCTCAGTTCAAATAATTTCTTCCGTGACTGTTTGGGGATAAAAGGTGGGAGATGGCACAAAAGCACAGTAGTGTCCACTGTTTTGTAATTGTTCAGTGGGCGTGAGAGCAGTGGTGCTGTCTTACTGCTTTATTCTGCCTCAGAGCCTTCAGGTCTTCCTGAACTTGAAACATGTCAGCCAGCTCCTGGTACTTCTCCCTCCAGCTCAGGCACTCGGCCACTCTCTCCTGCCTCTCCTTCTCAGCCAGATGCCTCTCTGCCTCGACTTCCCGCCGAGCCTGGGTAGCTCTTTTGCTCCCCTCTTCTGATTCTGTTGCTCTGCGTTTCCAGTTCATCTCACTGAGAAGGGACAGGATGAAATTGCATGCTAGAACATCATAGCCAGACTGCATCTTCATGCACCTTTAAGCTAAATCCAGTTAAATCTTTAAACCGTCTTGTCTTCAGCCTGTTGTGAAGCGTACTCTCATTCTGGTCTGCAGGATAAAAGCAATAAAGAAAATAAAGAAAATCCCTAAGACGTGAATTGAAAATGGTAAATGGACTGGTCCTTATATAGTGCTTATATATATATATATAGTGCTTTTCTACTCTGAGTACTCAAAGCACTTTTGTTAACTGTGTTGTCCAGTCAGGTATTTGTTGTTTGACTCGAAGTCTGTGCAAAATAAGCACACCTGGTCTTTGGTACTGTTCCTCACACTCTTAGAAGAGTCATCTTGTGTTGTGTTCACGGGACAACACAGAGATCATGTGAAAACTATGCAGTGAAGGTAAATAAGTACACTTTTACAGACTTTCTACACTTTTACTTAGCAGAGCAGCCTCTTAAAGTCCTTTATATATTGTACGGAACGTCTTGGAGTCAATATGTCTGTGAAGGTTCTCAGTCATCCAGGTCATCGTAGTCAAAGGAGCTTGCAAAGAAAAGCGTCTGGACTTCTTTAAGTTGCTTGAAGACGTTTCACCTCTCATCCGAGAAGCTTCTTCAGTTCTAAGGTCAAATGGTGGAGGCGATTAGAGGATCATCAGGGGGTCCTTTTGTCCCTCTGTGGGGGGGTTACTCCCACTAGGTTTATATCTGGGACTCTCCACCATTTGACCTTAGAACTGAAGAAGCTTCTCGGATGAGAGGTGAAACGTCTTCAAGCAACTTAAAGAAGTCCAGACGCTTTTCTTTGCAAGCTCCTTTGTCTTGGAGTCAAGTACGCTTCCTCTGACTTTTCTCTTTGTTTCTGTTTTCTCCTCCTCTGCCTTGCTGATGTGACTCAGCTGAATTGAATTTTCTCAGAGCTATCAACTAAAAGGCCGTTATTGTTGCACCACGGACGGTCATGGACAATGACACTGAGTTTTGGGAAATTCCCTCTGAAGATAAATGGGAAATCCAAAAAAACCCCTCTAAAAACAAAAGTCAAAGTAATCACACACATATACAAACATGTTCATAGGTCTAACATCCTGATGTTAGAATTGCTCTTTTCTATATTCCCAGCATTAGATTGGATTTTTAAAAAGAGCTTGTGTATTTGGTATATCACAGAGCACTGGTTGGTACAAAATGCATTTTAATCAAAAAATCTGAATAGTTTTTTTTTTTATCACACTCAAAAAAAATCTCACTTTTTTGACAGGAAAGTAAGGAATAAAGAAGACATCTCTAACTAAGATGTTTAAATTATTTCTTCTTGGGCTCACACAGTGTACTGTTATACATAGATTTGCAACACAGTGGCACGGTGGTTAGCACTGTTGCCGCACAGCAAGAAGGTCCTGAGTTAGACCCCATCATCTGGCCGGGGTCTTTCTGTGTGGAGTTTGCATGTTCACCCCGTGTTTGCGTGGGTTCCCGCCGGGTACTCCGGCTTCCTCCCACCGTCCAAAGACATGCAGCTTGTGGGGAAAGGTTAATTGATTAATCTAAATTGCCCATAGGTGTGAATGTGAGTGCGAATGGTTGTCTGTCCCTGTGTGTTGGCCCTGCGACAGACTGGCGACCTGTCCAGGGCGTACCCCGCCTCTCGCCCTATGACAGCTGGGATAGGCCCCACAGTGCCCCCCGCGACCGTGAAAAAAGATAAGTGGAAGTGAATGGATGGATTATTGCTTCCCTCATCTACTCTTGTTAAGGCAGTACAACTTCTTATTTATGTAGAAGAAGCTAGGACTAAAGCACAACTCCTATTTTTCATTAATGATAAAAAAAAAAAAAAACCCTGAAAGCAAAAATCAGAAAAGAGAAGTACTTAAAGATGATTTAGTGGGATGTAAGAAAATCAATCACAGTTGCCAGGTGTCACTAAAATGTATCTACCCCTCTTTAATTTGGACATTTTCTTGGGTGAGCTTCCTCAGCTTGTGTCGGAGGTCATCTCTGTCTGCCTCCAGGCTCCTGCTCTCCTGCAGGAGGGCCTGTTTCTCTCCAGACACCCGATCCAACTTCAGCTTACTTTCAAAGTAGTTCTTCTCTGTTTGTGCCAGTAAAAGCTGCATGTTCGCGTGCTGCAGAAAGAAAAAGCAGATGTCAAATTAAGTGTTACGGGCTTTGATTGAATGAACTAATCTTCCCGCTTGATTCAGGAAGTTCATTAACTGAGGTTAAACAAAAAAAGGAACTGAGCTGGAAAACTGCGTCTAAAAGCACTTTGAGTT